GAGCAGCATTGTTCAGTACACTTGGTTGAGCATTTAATAAATATTATACAGTACTAAGGTGTAAAGTAAAAACTTCAAGAATATTTTAATGAGTGTAGCAACTATTTATCCACGTCGTAGTTATCTTAATTTACAAAATATCATTAATTTTATAAACCATAATATAACAGTCCAAAATGGAAGTTGATCAAAAAGGCAACCTTTCAAAATGCAATGGTGAAACTATAACAGATAAATTGTGACGTATTTCAGATAGTCATTATTAATTCAAACAAGAATTATGAAACCATTAAAATGACTGAATATTACGTATTTTAGGAAAGTAACCTTATTTCACAAGTTTCGGTTAAAATAATGGACTTACAGAGGCACCTATATTCTTTTTTTATGAGAAACCTGGTGGCCATACTTATAAATTTTACATGGAATTTGTAGATGGCGTTAGTTAACGCCCAATTATATTGACTATAAAATAAAAATACTATCACGTGCGTGCCTGTGTGGGTGTACATACAGAAAACATTTTTTTGTAGTTTTTGATTGTAGTGAATATTATTTTGTTGTAGTGTTAAGCGACACACCTGTCGATAGCAGTTACAGCCTATCGTTTTGTAATCGGAGAGTTACTGTGCCATACAGAGCTTTAAATCGCAAAGATCAGGGAGACATTGCCACTGCGCCCGTTATACTAAGACATAATAAGTCCTATGTGCTTGTAATTTCACTAACACTCTTTGGCTTCCAAACCAGAACGCAGTATTATTGAAAATAATCAATGTGAACGTTGTATGTACCCGAATGTATGATAAAAAAAATGTTATATTATATTCGTCACGCAAGATTATTAGTTTTTACGTCTATAAAATCAATAACACAGTTTGTGTTATCATTGATAACACATGGTTAGTCACATCGATATTTTTGTGTTATGAGTAGATATACTTTATATTATCTTTGTTATCAGTGGCAGTGTTGACGACTGAATTTCCTTTTTTTTAAATACTTTTTAACATTATACTACTAATGACGGAATGAACAATTTATGCGCCTAAAAGAAAGAAACCTTTATTCAGCTTGAGATAATTCAAGATAAACAGGTATTTCACATTAATTATTACACATACCTATCTAAAAGCTGAAACGGATCCAACTCAGCATATTTTATGTTACAGCTCACCTGCTGTAACGCTGGTTTTCAGTTGGAATCGCTTTTTTTACATAATCTCAGTACAGAATACTAAAAAAACCGACCTCAAAAGCACGTGGAATTACGTCATTTGCTAAGTTTTATTGAAATATCCCCTAGTTCGCCACTATACAGGACTTGACCCTGGAGATAATAAAAATAGGTTCTCACTACGACACTACTCAAAGTATATGGAGAGAAAAACGCCTTGAATGGAAGAAATAGCAAAATCAACCATTAAAGTAATTGCTCCTAAATTAAAGTTAGGCGCTATTTACAAAAGTGAATGTTCATGCGTGAACAGCCACCCTTCGAGGTGGATGGTTTTCTTCAAAATAAAATGGGACCACTATGGAAGTACCTCCTTTCCAACAAAAAAGAATCATGAAAATCGGTTCACAAATACCGGAGTTATCGCGTAACATACAAAAAAAAAGAACATACGGTCGAATTGAGAACCTCCTCCTTTTTTGAAGTCGGTTAAAATGAGATCGCACGTAAGTACAAGTGTGATAAACACTACAATTATAACATGTAACTTAAATATTAACTAAAAATAAGTAGAAAAAATGCTAATAGCAACTATTACATGACTGTATATAAAATACTACACTTGTCAGGGATTATTACATGAATTTAATGTATATGAAATACAGCACTTCATCATCAACACCATATCAGCCGAAAGACGTCCACTGCTGAATATACCCGCCCGTTACCCACCGATACTGCACTAGTTAGGAATTATTACATGAATTGAATATATATAAAATACTGCACTTGTTAGGAGTCATTACAAGAATTGAATGTATGAAATACTGCTCTTCCGAGACATTAATAAAGAGGAACTAGAACTAGAAAAGGCTGTCACTACTGAAGCAAGCAATTCCATTAAATTACATTAAAGTTTACAAGTTAAAACATTGTGATAAATACCTGGTCATTTCCATCATTATCCTACCATTATCAAATCAGTTGAGGCCAGCGCGGGACTAACAAGTCGTGCGTCTGGTGGTAAACGACACGCCTGTCTATAGCGGTCGATTATCGCGCAGAGATCTGAGAGATACCACTACTGCGCCCTGCGCTCGTCACCCATAAATTGACACGTCCCATATGCCTGTAATGTCACCGATATTCGCTATAATGCTGATTTGTGTGGTCACCATGTGACCTCTCTTATTCTTTACGACACGAATAAGACACGACTTTAATAAAAACTAGTTGTAGCATTCGCAGTGTTGTTTCAACAAAATACCGGATCGATTTAAATCCCTTCCTTTGGCTAGATTTAAAAGGGAATTGCCAACTTGCCTTCCAGAATAGATATTCTACTCTCTTTTAGAGCTGCTTCATTTTGTCAAGGTCGTTCTTGTCCACGTTTGCAATAGTATATAAGAATAATAGAATAATTCGACATTTAAATTACACCTACTCGAAGCCGCTTTTAGCAGTTTTCTGTATTAAAATAGTACACAATGGCAGAAATTCTGAAAACTAGCAACACTGTATCTGAACAAAATTGTATATTTATTCGTGTGCACCACTGGCTTAAAGGTAATAGCAGCTTAACACACGGACGTGGTGACTAATGTTGAAAAGAGTTCTATTAGCCGGAAATAAACCTCATTAAAATGGACGGTGAGTTTTTATATAATGTGTTATTGAAAATTTTCCCCGAATTTACACTTTACTGAAGAATACAAAAGATACCAATGCTGATTAAGAATATAGATAGAAAAATCTAATGGGAAATTCGATCAAAATTTCAAAACATAAGTATTTAAGAAATTTTTAACTGACTTAAAAAAAGGATTTCGTAATTCGACTGAACTTTCTTCGTGTGTATTATATCATTACTTGTGAATCGATTTCGATAATACTTTTTTTATTGGAAGGGCGTAACTAAGTAGTTGAAGAAAATACTCTACGTGTAAGGGTGGTAGATTGGGGGATGAATCCGGTTTATTGATATTATTATTAACTGTAAGGCAATTATTCATTAAGTCCACAGTCCTCAAACAGCACGTATTGCTCCCATATATTACTGAAAACACTAATAAAAGACGAAAAGATATTGTCTGCCCCAAAATTATATCATCAAAACATACTTTTATTTCAAGATTTTTTGTGTTTCTTGGACCATTTTTGTACAATAAATTAAACGCTAAATATTCCATTTATAATTTCTGTTGCTTTAAGGTAAAGAAAATTCTCCAAGAAGCTCTTCAAAATATGTCCTATGAGGATACAGAGAATTTATTTATTATCGTAAATTAAATGTTGTCTTGTTTAAGTGTACATTTTTTATTTATTTTTTTTATTTTTTTAACGGCAATTTATTATTTAATTGTTTAATTTTATTTCATAAGATTCTCCTAAAAAGTATTTATAATATTAATAGTATCCACATTTATAATTAGTAGTACTTTTTACCTGAAATACAGGAATTTCCTAGTTCAGGTACATGTGTTATTTTTACATTAAATCGCATAAGTAGTCTTTAGTTTTCTCTGTACATTATGTTACTGAATAAACAATTTTATTTATTTTTATTTATTTATTGGATTTCACTCGTAAATAGACGTAATTAAACAAACTTTTGAGAAAACTTAATAATTATCAGCTTCATGAGAGCAAGATTTTTATACCTGCGAAAATATATTAAATTCATCCAAGAGACACTAGTAACCATGTTGAATTTACTTTTCCTCAAACATAAAAAATTGCGTACAATTTGTATAATCTTTAAGTTTCTTAGTAATTTTAAAAAGTTGATAATACATTTATCTTTCCTGTAAATTGTTATCTTTTATATTGAAAAGGCGATAATGGGATTTATACCACGGGCTCAATTTTGGTGTATGATAAGAAAGTAATACGCATTTCAGGAAAATCCGGGAACCCGCCTCCGTACTCTGGCTACCCTCCTCAGCAGGACCCACCTCATCAGCATCCTGCTTATCAGTATCCTCCTCCGCAGCCACCAGTCGTTGTGGTTCCTGGTGAAGTTATTCATCAAACAAACATAGTTCGGCCTGTAGTTGTCGGCACACCTGTCGGCCCGAAACCCTCTCATATGACATGTCGGTCTTGCAGAGCAGAGATTGTAACCAGAGTCGAATATAAGTCTACAACAAAAACTCATTTGATGGCATTACTTCTTTGTGTACTAGGGTAAGTGAATTAAATTTACATTGTATCAATTAAGCTACCTAGAAATGGACTGAAAAGTGTCCGAATCAAAAGAGAAAGAAATCGCAAAAAGAGGAACTATTATTCTTTTGTTGGTCAACCCTAGGTAGAAAAACAACAATCGAACTGCCTTAAGCCTCGATTACAAAAGATAAACAATCTAGATAATGATTGATTATAGTTTTTAATTTAAAAAGATGTAACAAATTCTGTATTGTTAAAATAATTTAAACTTTATTCAGCCGCTATATCGTTGAAACTTCAATAAGTTTATTGAACGTTACGACGTTTTGATTTTATATTGAAATTTATTCAACGTGCTGCCATCTTACGGTATGTAGCTGGACTACGACGAACGATTAACATTTGAATCAATTCGAAAATTAAAAATTTATTAAAATAAGGCGTGCCGATGATATGAAATATTACTAAGGCTAATATTTTTGGTGCGGTTATCACATTTGCTCTCCAAAACAGCACAATAAGGCATTTTTCTGCGGTTTTAGACAGTTTGCGCGAAAGAATGATTAAAATTATACAAAGCGAAAATGGCGGACAGAGTTCAAGTAGGTCTTTCGAGACCTAACGTTAGCACGCGTCTGACGCTAACTAACCACTTTTACTTCTATTTATTGTTCTATAGGTCAACCGACAGCGTACTTATCGGTTTTAATTTTACAACTAAATTTTCCGAGAAACTAACAAAAACAAGGAATAAATCTGTAGGTGCTATTTTCGCAAAACTTTGATCATATTAGTTGACACTTTCTTGCTTAACAGCATCCAATAATTTGTAAGACCTCGTTCATTAATAGTTCTTACTATGTCGGTCTATCCATTCGCATGTGAAAAATGCTGATTTTTCAATTATGGAAATGCAGAAAAGTTTATAGATGTCTGTCCGTCTATTACAGGTGCTGGTGCTGCGTTTGCATCCCGTATTGCACAGATTCCTGCCAGAACGCAGACCACTATTGTCCTAATTGTAACTCGTACATCGGAGCGTACTCCTCATAACAGTCCTTCATCTCGAGAAGAACTTTACACTTTACAACGTCTGTCACTGTTAAAGATAAGTTACTTGTGGACCCTAAAGTGAGGACGCTTGTACTCCGTCATCGTAAATATTAACATTTTATAACTTTGCATAATGGCAGAAGACCAAATCTAAAGTGTCAGATATCGCCATTGCGTAGGTATATTTCTACTACACTTTTGAACTGCATGTATGTTGTCAATAAAATTACGAGTGTAGTTTATTTATATTGACTAAATTGGCGGGGAAGAGGACTGGCATTCTTTCGTGGCTGCAAAAGAAAATATGCCAGGTTCATAACAAGTGGCGGTAGCTGGTCTTTGATAATATCGTCTCTGTTGCAACTGCGTAAGGAGTTTTTACACAGCTTCCAAAAGAAAACATTCGTCCTCTGATTGTCGTAAGTGTATCTTTTTAACCGGTTTCAAACTCTCTATTCGATTGCATTTTTTTTTATTTCGGTTAATCTTTTTTTGTTGGAATGGGGGTTCCTTAGTAGTAGTCCCATTTAAATTTGTAGAAAATATTTTACCTCTAAGCGTAGAAAATTAGGAGAGAAATCCGGTTTATTGGATGTTACCCACATTCCGTTAATCGATTCCAATAAAACTTGACAAATAGATGTAAGTCCACATACTTTTGAGATCGAGTTTTTTTATGAAATAGTTATAGTTATTTATACATTAATATAGTGCATTCCGTTTAATACAAGCTGATACCTCGTGAAGGGAAGCACTAAAACGAAAATAAAAATATAAATATCGTAAACAGGCTGGCGAGGTTCTATATGTGGCACAAGTTGATGAATATTTCGAGTACCTAAGCACTCCTAGTAGCTACTAATATCGGCCCCATATTATTATCACTAGATAGTAAAGTTTCCCTGTACCACACAAAATTACTGATAATCTTTATTTATCAAGGGATTTGAAATCAACGTCAACAGCTTCGAAAAAATTCCACGAATCACTAATTTTATTAATTTTATCGTATTAGTAGTATTCAATATCATTGTAGAATGTATATACATATCTACCTATCTTGCTATTGTTAATTCTAATAGTTTTAAGAAATTATGTCAACTTCCACTAAACTTACACTCAACACACAAACTGGAGATTTATATACGAGTACAGTGAATCAGAAAGTCTACCATTAAATACGATACTACATCACTGTATAAGTATAAGTACTACATAATGTTAGTTTTACGATGAAACTAGTGTCAAAATTCGATACGAAAGTTGTCATTTGACGTTTCGGAGTAAGGAATGTTCGTACGCGTTTCGTGGTCCGAAGCTAACAGGATGATCGGTCGCTTCGTATTTCGTATTTCGTGGTAGACCTCCAGGTCCCATATGTAAAGGGATTTTGTAATACGGTATTATAAAATGAAAAATGTAGGATACTATCTTATTATGAAACGTTCTTAATAATGTGTTTTTGCTTTATATAATTCTGATAATTCTAGTGATTTCATGGTTCTACATATTATGTGTAATTATAAAATAAACGACTTAATGTACAAATGCGCTGGATTTTATTTATGATTATTTAATAGACCGCATCTTGGACACCTGGCCGCGGAGACTCAATTTTATTCGTAATTATAATTTAAACCTGGTTTTGATTTCTAGTATTTAAGCTTTTAAGAGGGAGCAGAGGAGAAATTCCTAATCTTCGATTTGATTTTAGAGGGGTATATCCACTTTAAAGTTAAAAATAAAATATTGTATGAATAACTACACGATATGTTCAAGCATAGACATTAATTAATCAGAAACATAAAACAATAAAGTTTCCTCGATAACTAAATTCACGAGATGACCTCTAATTTTCACATTTTTTCGATTCATCCTCGAAATGCTACAGGTTATTAGGACAAAAATTAGATAATTAATTATATTTATGCATGATCGACAACTGTCACTACGGATTTTTTTTAATTCCCTTAGTTTTAGAGTTATTCCGCTAAAACGAATTTACTACTTTTCATGCGCAAAATTCAACATCTCCTGTCGCATGACACGCGAACTTCAGGCATATATTTGTTTCACAAATTTGGGCGGAGCCAACGTCAAAACTTTTTTGGCATGAGAGCTCCCTTACCTGCATGTTTTAACTACAACTTAACCTTAACCTACTTATAATTACTTCATTCTATAACTATTTTACTTCATATCCAATGTAAGGTAACAATAATAACAAAAAATAAATAGTCGATTCAAATTATTCGCGAACAGAATCGGTTCTATTGCACACTACACTGGTTTTATAATGGAAAACGTGTAAGAGACCTGTGCGCAGCGTTTATGATAATGAAGAGTATGAACTGTAGACGTGAGGGCTTGCTAAACCGTCAGAAAATCCTAGTACAGACACTTGAAAAGGGTGTCTATACAACGTGTACTAGGTCTCTGAAAAAGGTGATGAAGGCAACGGGTCACACGCGGTGATGAATTTGTAAAAAAGTTCCTATTAGAAAGGCAGCAAGGAAAACATTAGGACGCGGTCTATCTACGAGGCAAGAAAGTTTGGGAACCTCTAGCCTAAACCATTCAACTGCCTCCGTGGCCGAACGGTTACCATGCCGGACTGCCATGCAGACGTTCTGGGTTCGATTCCCAGGCCGGGAGAAATATGTGTATGGCCTACATTTATTTATTTATCTCGTGTGTTTGGGTGTAATTAGTGCTTGTCTATGTGGGGGTCCATTGCACCCTTGCCACAGGGTTTCCATAGTGCGGGGCTATGTTGAGTGTGTGCGTTATTGTATTATTATTATTATCTCGTTAGAGGAGACCCATATACGGCAGTGGGTCGTACAATGCGTTGGTGTTGAATAGAACTCAGTGTTATTATTTATTCTGTAACAATAGCATGTAAACATCGTCTGTGCATGATTGATTATCCAGGCGTGATTTAGTGGCGCCACGGCACTGGCCTTGACTAGAGTCTGCGCAGGCGCGGAAGTGTTTTAGCTCCCATGACATCATCAAAGGTCAACTATATTGAATTTCCCCGTTTTTTATGGGAAAAGGGAGTGTTGTTTGTTGTTGTTGACGGCAGTCATGATCACAACTTTGATGAGTCGATTCAATAGGTTTACTTAATTTGTTTAGGAAATTGTGGATGTTTTATCAGACACAATGTCATTTAGTCTCCTTGAAATCAAAGCATTTTAATAAATTCTCAAATATATTTATTACCTTTATGCAATGATTTCATAAGTACACAAGATCATTTGTTCTATGTAATAACCTACACACTGTTATAAATGAAATGAAAACTTTTTGTAAGTAAATTAAAAAAAGACCAAGTACAAAGACACGACGCAAGCACATAGAAAAATTCGTGAGGTCCGTTGGTTCGTTCCGTGGCTTAGTTGGTATAGCGTCTGGCACGGTATGCAAGAAGACGTCGGTTCGAATCCGACCGGATCGAAGGAATTTTTTCTGAGTGTTTTTCTGAGTGTTCGATCTTTGTATTAATAATTATAACAAACTAGTGGAGTAATTTCACAAAAAATAATTGAATATCAATTCAATAAAAATTTAATTAAATAAAAAAAAATAAAATCTCTCTTTATTGCCCCTAAAATAACAAATACAAAACTTTAAAAAAAAAAACTACACTGACTGTCGAATGTGTTGAATGTCAACCGTGACCATGGGACCTGTAAAGGGCCCGAAACGTCGGTTTGTTTGAAAAAACAAATATACGCGATTTAAATCCAGAAAAATAGTTTCATATCCTATGTGTAACAATCGCGAAAACCAAAGAACTCGATATGTATAAATTAACTTTGATTGTTTTATGTTGGGCCTAAAAACTAAGACAAATGAGCATTAAAAATAAAATTTAGATACTTTTAAAACTAAGTAAATGTTGATCATATTTGTATACTATTGTTATATTAATTGTAACATAATTTCAAATTGGCTTCTGGCTATTTTTTCATATACTAACTAACCTAACCTACTAAATGGAGGGCACAATCAAGGAACCAAGATTTATAAGGAGATAAATATCAAAAGATATACTGGTTATAAATGTCATCAATCGTTAAAAAAAGACTAAACTATAAAAAAGAGACCTTTTCATGCCATATACGCCTTAAGCTGTAGCTGTGTCAAACTAAATAAGTTATATTTATATTTAAAATGAAAAAATACGACCATTAGTATGTAATTTTGCTTTTAAATACAGGCACATGTTTTTATCCTGCCTAACTGAACACCGTCTCCTAACACACAGACACTTATCTAGTTTAGGAGAAAGAGTCCTTGCATTTGTTACAGCTTTCTATCTGTTTGTCTTACTTTATTCTATTGAAATTTTAAATAACTGAATTTCTTCTCTGTACTATATATATGGCTCAGCCTCATTGACTTACAATCAGCCTCAATTTATATTGCGAGTTATTTATACATTTTTTTTTCCCGCCAAAACCGCCAAACATCATCGTGGAATAGCTGTTTTGGCGGTATTGGCTATGACCAACAATAATACCAAAAAGATGACAACAGATGGCAGATTGCAAGCAAAGCTTATAGTTACGATACAGTCCATGGCATTAAGAAATATTAATTGGCAACACCGATATAAAAGTAAAATGTCATCCGTAATTCAACAAATGACGGGATTCGCTCTGGACCTTTTGGAGGGAAAAGTGTCGTTTTTATTATTTTGTGAAATCTAGTTTAAAGTGGAATAGGATAGTGCCAATGTGCCTTAATCGAAGATTAAAACTCGAAATTATACGAATTTCGAACTAAAATACCCTATAATAATATATTAATATAATAAGTTTTAAGGAATCCCGAGTCAATCCAAGCACGCCGCCTCAATTTGCCTATCCTCTTTGTGGCGGCCATTGACTTACAATTATATGGACGTCAGGTCCGCGCTAAAAAGTGTCCGAACTTATAGGGCGTTAAAATCGTATATAGAGCGTCATTCACGCTTGAGTCTTCGTTTGTTCGACTGACAGCGAAGTTACAATACATATACATAGTACAATTTAAATTCAACGTTTTGGCTTTTTCATATTCCTTTACATGTCACTACGTTTAAATAGGTTGACTTGTGACATTTTTTTCGTGGTTTTTGTATTAAACCCGTCGTCCATTTATTTGTAAGTCAATGGTGGCGGCCATATTTACAGAAACATAATTAAACTTCATGTCCAAAAAAGAATAATGTACCAAGACTTGGCTGTATGGTGTAAAACCTTTGCCTTTTCCTTTATGGAAAGAAGAAAAAAAATTCAACAAAGGACAATTTTAGCTATAATATGTACTTGAATTTATTGTGAAAAATTTTAACAAATTCATGTAACATGTAACAGTTTGTAAAAGTGATACATTTCAATAACCATATTGGTTCGAGTATAATACAATATACAATGTAGTATGCAAAATACGACCTGGTCATGATTGTAACACAACACTAGATATTAGCCAAAATCTTCCAACAATATCGTTAACAATATCGTTACAAAATTTTGCTTCCATTCCGTTTCGCTGCAGTATAAATTGAGCCTAAGCTGTGTTTTTGAATAAAGGCATGTTATTATTATTAATTATTGCTTTTGAAAACTGGGTAAGACCGCCTTGCTCCGTGGCGAGGCAAATGATACGACATTTGGCGAGGAGACGGTTGATATCATCACAGTTACCTCTCATTGCAACAGGCAAAGACCAGCTATCTCCACTTGTCACGATCCTCGCATAATTACTTTCGCGATCACAAAATAATGCCAGTTTTCGTACTCAATAATTCAAACAACATAAATATTATAAGCATGAGGCAAAGAAACCGTTATAACCAAAAACAAACACTCAAAGACATTGGTAAGGTCTGCTGGCTTGTTCCGTTAGTTCAGTCGGGAGAGGGATAGCCCGCGTTAGGCGAAAACGTCGCTGGTTCCATGTGTCTTTGATATTGTACGATCTTTGTATCAATTATGACAACAAACAAGAGGAATATTCTCACAAAATTATGTAGATAAATATTGCAACACAAATATATGCTGTGCAAAAAAACCTAACTATATTTTAAAATTGTAATAGCAATGTGTTTTCTGCAAAAAAACGTGATAATCTTTTCCACGTAGCGATATCTGATAATTTTCAAATTGATATGTCCTATTGCCAAATTTTGAACAGTTAACACATAAATAAAAAAACGTACTTTGACACTTCAGCGTTCACAAATGACTTCGACGCTTGAAAGACAAAATGGGGTAAGCGACATTTTGGAATCTGTTAACGTTTCTGATTCCAACGGTATATATAACTCAATACGAATATTTTGCCTTTCAAGCATCGACCTATATTTAACACTGAACAGACGTCGGTCGTAATGGTCGTAAGGAACTTAGTGCTTCTCGAAAAGATACACTGCTAGGAGGAGTGTGCTCCAATGAATGCGTTACAATTGGGACAGTAGTGGTCTGCATTCCGACAGGAATCTGTGCAATACGGGATGCAAACGCAGCACCAGCACCTGTAATTGATAGAGAGAAATTAATATACGCTTTTGTACAGGATTCTCTCGTCTTTTTTATAATAAAATAATAAGTGCGCATTTTACATTCATCACTCTTGATGAAAAGTGACGATGAGGTCAACGGTGGAGAATGCACACCTAAATAATGCCTATTCACTCTTGCCTTCAATACGCCAAAGTTAAAACGTCCAGGGAAGATGCGTATTATATTACCCAAATTCTTCTTTCACTACAAGTTGGGCGGGCCTCCTAGTGAGCCTCTGTGAACCTTTACGTTGTAGGTACGTGGTATTATCATGGCGCCATATCGAAGCTTGTATTTGTTGTTGTTGTTCTCATCGCAAATTTCTAGTAAAATTTAAAGCCCTCGTTGTATACTTATTCGTATAGTTTATGTTCTGTCTTCCATAAATAGGGCAGGTCTTTGTATCGGGCACAACAAAACTTCTTAACGTTTGATGTGGTGGTAGCAAGACAAAATGGCTGCGCGAACCAGAGAACCGAAACGATACGACTGCTCTCCGCATTCGTCACGCATTGGCTGAGGTTTCTAACCGCCCTAAGTGTTATTACACCACCGGAGCGTCAGGACGCGGCAAATCAGGTATCCCTATGTCGCCCAAAAATCGGGACCTGATTACCTAAGTCTTATCATACCTCTACTAAGTTATTGTAACCCTTCAATTTCGTTAGGGTAATACATGTTTGAGTCCGCAGGCAGGGTATTCCACTCCTTAGCCGTTTGCCATATAAATGTGGAAGCGTAACGCTTCATGCGAGACTTTAAAATATCCACAACATAGGGGTGGAATTCCAGTCTACATCTAGTCCCTTAATGTTGGAAAGGGAAAGCGGAATTAAATCATGCAATCCCGTGATTATTTCCTGTACATTACCGACAAATTTTTCAATTTTCGCCCATTATAGCAAAGCTCAAGTTAAACTCGTCGTTTTGAAGTGAAACAATTGACGACACCTGTGAATCCGCCAATCGGAGTGGAGTTGTCACCGTAATGATTTGGCAGAATCATTTTCAAAAAAATTAAATGACATTTCGTCTCTATTTCTGGTTATATACTCGATGGTAAAAGTAATCACTTACCCGAAGAGACAAAGAAATAATGCGATCAAGTGAGTTTTTGTTGAGGCCTTATATTCAACTCTGGTTACAGCGTCAGCTCCGCAAGAACGACAAGTTATCCGGGAAGGTTTTGGTCCAACGGCGTATTGACTGACCACTACAGGAGAAACTATATTTATTTGATGAATGACTTCACCAGGAAACACAACGACTGGCGGAGGCTGCGGAGGATGGTACTGATTGGTCTGAACGTTCGCTTGCTGAGGCTGCGATTGGGAGTACGGTGGCGGGTTATCAAGTTTTCCTGAAATTCGTATCAATTTATCAAATCAAATCAAATCTTTGTGATTTATAAGCATACAAATCTAGTCAACATAAATTGAGCCATGACCGCCGATTTATCCTAAGCGACATTTTTACCTGAACAGCGCTTATAAGGCAAACTATATATTTTAAACTATAACGGACAAGGCCGCGTAGACATTTCCTGCCAAAATTACAGCAAATAGAATTTATAGCAAAAGCTAAGTTTATCGTTAGCTCAACTGTTTTTTTATATTTTAGTGTAACTGACCTAATCGATATTAAAAAATAATAATGTAAGCGATCCCACTTGTTATCACAACCGACATAGGAAACCACAATTTCGTTATTTACTATGAACAATTGTTGCATATTTTTCCTAGTTCCTTCGATCCGGCCGGATTTGAAACGACATCACATGGACGTCACGAATTATTCTATGTGTATTTAGCTACGGCTAAAAATTGAAAAAAGCAAATACAAAGACACGACTTTGTTGTTCCGTGGCTTAGTTGGTATTGCGTCTGGCACGGTATGCTAGAAGACGTCGGTTCGAATCCGGCCAGATAGAAGGAATTTTTTTGAGTGTTCGATCTTTGTATTATTATTTTTTGTTTTAGAAATAGCTAGTTTTTCTTAATTTCTGTCTAGGTTACAATAAAAAATAATTTTAAATTACTTCTTTCTGCCTTTATCTTGTGTTAGTACATAGATATCATAGATACGAGTATATCATTAGGCGATTATGAAACACGATGTCACGTCTATATTAGCTCAACGATGATAAGTGATAAATGCTGATAGACAGATAGCATTAGTTCAAGGAATAAAAATAAACTCGCTCTCCTTGACGTCTTCACAAAGTCATAAATTCATATAAGAGGCAATCTATTAGAACAAAAATCTACTTTTTGTTTTTTAAAAAAAAATAGCTGGAAGAGAAGTATCAGTTCCGAATCCGAAACATGACGATCTGAAATGTCACTAAAAAAATATATTACTCTTTTTAACATGGTTCATCTGAATATGAACTTCTGTTATAAAGTTGCCCTCATATACGTAAAATCTTTGAATATCAAACGGAATCTTATTATCAGTGATCAGAATTGAGGGAGTTATATAGTTATATAAAAAAATATGTGCGCATTTGACTTCCACTTCGCCTGATGGAAAGTGACGATAAGGTCGACGACGTAGCAAGCGCACCTAAATAATGCCTATTCACTCTCACCTTGAAAATGTTCGACTTCTTTAATTTGAACTTCACAGAGATTGTCTCAACATTGAAGAATAAAATGTCAAAATGTAAGTCATGTTACGTTAAACAAATATTAACAAGGTAGTCGTTCGAAATAGAGTGGCATCCCTGTTGGCCAGAGTGAAAGGCAGTACTAACAGTCTTCTTAAGGTGGTAGCAGAGAGGATGGACAGCCCAATCCTTAAGTATTTAATGTCCACCCTTATTCATGAAAACAAATACTTTGCTTTCTACTAACATAGTTGTAAGTACCTACACTATACTACTACTAACACCATATGGACTTGTAACTGTCTAAAATAAATTGTTTAATTTCTTTTCCTATTCAAAAATTCATATCATTTTTTCTCCAACTTATTTCAAAGTTTTATGAATGAAACTTACATTATTTTATAACGTATAATTAGATGGATATAAATTTGTGACAAAAAAAAATTGTGAGTCTAAAATGGACATTGTTCTATACAATATTTATTTAAAACATGGAAGCAACCTGCAAGAGCTAGACGGGTTACTAATCGTGGATTTTTATAATCCAAGCACGCAAAAGCTGCGTAATAACCTCGTAAATGGCGAATTTTGAACATCATTCGGAATCTCATAATAGATGCTTCTAATATTTAGATTGCCTCTTATATGAATTTGTGACTTTGTGAAGACGTCAAGGAGAGCGAGTTTATTTTTATTCCTTGAACTAATGCTATATATCTATCAGCATTTATCACTTATCATCGTTGAGCTAATATAGACGTGACATCGTGTTTCATAATCGCCTAATGATATACTCGTATCTATGATATCTATGTACTAACACAAGATAAAGGCAGAAAGAAGTAAAAAAAATATTTTTTATTGTAACCTAGATAGAAATTAAGAAAAAGTAGATATTTCTAAAACAAAAAATAATAATACAAAGATCGAATACTTAAAAAAATTCCATCGTTCCTGCTAGATTCGAACCAGCGCTTGCAGCAATCTGTGCCAGACGCTCTCTCAACTGAGCTACGGAACAAACCAGTGGAATTTTTCCATGTACTTGTTGCAGATCTTTGTTTTTGGTTTTTAACTACTTTTTCGTCTTAGCGCCATCTGTGAGAATTCTATAAAAGATTTTCTTCACTCAGCCAGGTACAGTCAAGAGCACGTCAAACTTGACATTTTGTACTTCGGACTGTTCTTATGGCAAGCGGCATAGAATTGGATTTAAATCTTAAGTGTCAAGCTTGACGTGCTCTTGACCACGCACTTTACAGCTACCAGCTATCAACTACTTGCTAAAGCTACTTTGTTGCCCTGGTGGATAAAATAAAAAACAAGTATATCCGAGGGACTTCTATACTGGCACCTACACAGGGAAAACTGATTACGTTGGTATGGCCACGGAATGCATAGGGATAATAGCCTTACGACCAAAACAATATTGGCGCTAGAAACTGAAACTGTCAAAAGACGAACAGGCAGACCCCAGACTACTTGGATTGGAACCGTTCAAAGAGACATGAAAACGATGTGTGTAAACTCTGAGTGGCTTGGAGTGACACGCGCGGACTAGGAGGGCCGACCCCAAAAGAAGTGGGACATAAGGCCAGGACAAAGAAGATGTTCCAGGCAACTACACCAACGACCTGGTCTCTATTTAATGAATTTCTTATAACATAAGTGCCAGAGCAACGAAATTCACTCTGGGGCACGACTCAAAATGCCCAGACTAGAATAAATTTCCAAAAGTTTATTTCCCGAAGTGGTCCTACCGGGAAGCGTACATAGTTTTCCATACATATTCCACCCCCCAAGTAGAGATGAGGTAGATTTATACATATATAGAATATATAATATACATATAAATATTATATAGATAGAATTAAGTAGCAGTAGAGAGAGTTTATCCAGGGAAGTACTTGCCATCTTATCTACTTCTGCCGGCTAGCAGTAATGTGGGCATTACTGAGGTGAAACTACAGGGTGAGGGGTGCACTGGCCGTGCCATTCAGATCTTTGCATTTTAAGGCTCTCAGTGGCACTGCAACTATGGACAAGCGTGTCGCTTACCACCAGGCGCACGTCTTGTTCGTTCCGTCACTTGGTAATAAAAGAAATAAAATAAAAAAAGCATTTAAAAAAAGTAAAATATTATAGTGATGGGAAAAACAAGTTGTGCACCTATGGGTACCTATAATAGCTGCAGTGCCACTCTGAGATTTCGCAAAGACCTAAGGGGGCCACTGCGACCGTCGTACTGAGACATAAGTTGATAAGTCCCATTTCACCAGCACCACCAGCACCTTTCAAAACCGGTACTATTAGGTTTTTGTGGTAGCTGAGCACAATATTCAAGTATGGTTTAACGGTACAGGGTAAAGAGCACGTTTAACTTGACACTTAAGATTTAAATCCAACTCTATGCCGCTTTCTTGCCGTGTTCTTGACTGTACAACCGTTCATTATTATACAGTTGGTATGAGAAAAACATCAGTAATGTTCATTTGTAAAAATCACTGTCGAAAACAAATCCGTAACACTCACCTTCCATTACAATGAAGCTTATTTTCGCCTAATAAAGCAGTGGTGTTGTATTTGTGTGTAAATAGCAAGAGAGTACTAAGTCTGTGTGTTAAGTAGCTTTATACTTTTGAGTCAATGGCGAATAAATATACAATATTTGTTTCGATACAGTATTGCTAGTTTGTATAATTTCGGCTAATGTCGTCGTAATACGGTCGACTTAGTGTTAGCGATAAAATAAAAATTTTAAGAATAGTTTTTTTATGATTGTGATGTTAAATTGAATTTTAATATCTAATAATGAATTTCGTAACCGATTGTGTAATAGCAAATTTTTTTTTTGAAAATTAAGCTTAACATAAATGGTTTAAAAAAAATTGCTATTAAAAAATCCGATAACAAAAATGAAAGCAAAAAAAACCATTTTTCTAATTTTACATTTTTTTAAGTCTTTCAGACGTTTCACTTTGTGTTACTTTTATCGCAAGCGATTAAAAATATGCAACACGCTATTTGCCACTTTGTTTATAGTAAACGACGAAATTGTAATATGCTATGTCGCTTGCTATAACAAGCGGGTGTTGCGAAAAACTGGAATATTTTAATAATGCCATAATTATTTAAAATTTTATAGTTTCTCAAAGATAAATGACAAACCGTTTAACATGTTTACAATCCTAGGTAGTCAGTTTGACTGATAATTATGTATTTTTTCGGCAAAACACGCGATTTTTCGTCTAAAAGCGCCAACCACTGGGATATTTACCTTACGTTGTAATTTTTTTATGATACCAAGTGCCGGGACGAACATGTCGCGCGCCTGATGGTAAGCGAAACGCCTGTCCATAACAGTCGCAGTGCCGTTCAGAGCTTTAAATCGCAAAAATCTGAGAAGCACCGTCACCCTGAAACAGAAGCTAACTTCAAAACTAGAACGGCAGAAATCGGTAAGGTGGGCAGTATGTTGTATCTTGGACGAACTGTCTCCCAAGGAGTTCTACTGTTACTTTTTCATATATTTCATAAAAAGTCAGTTTTCCGAGATATAATTTTGTGTCGTTGTGGCCCCAATAATAACACTGCGAATGCTACAACTGGACCATTTACAAAAAAAGCGCAGTTGCAAGGAGCGCCATCTGGTGACCATCATTATTAATTTATTTTAAATTTTAACAATGCTGTGCAATTTGAAAAAATCGAGACGACAACACAGCTATTGACAACAAGAGATAAAAGAAAAGATTATCTACTGATAACACGGTAATCTCAGCTCGACAAATAAAGCGCAATCTCTGATAACAAACGATTTTATTGATTTTGGAGAAGTAAAAAATAACTTTTTTGTTCATGACGAGTATTTCCAGTGCTTGAAATCATACTCAAGTCTGCTCAAGTCCTGACTTGAGCATTGAGTAGAGTTCTGGAATACGACCCTAAGTGACGGTCAACAATCGTGCGCGTGTCTACAACAGTTGCAGTGCCACTCAGAGCTTTAAATCACAAAGATCTGAGGGGCACTGCTACTGCGCCCGTCGCCCTGAGACATTGACAAGTCCCATGTGCCTGTAATTTCACCAGCACCCTTACCCTTCAAAACCGGAACGCGGTAATGCTAACATTACTGCTTGGCGGCAGAAATAGGTAAGGTGGCAGTTCTTACCTGGACGAACTCTTTCACAAGGAGCTCTAAACATAGATTGAAAACAGACATTGAAACATTGACATGCAGAACTATGTGGACGAGGTCATCACCGTTCAAGAGTGTTGTGAATCGCTGATACAAGGGGTCCATAATGTCATATTTATCCAGAAATGCGAAAAATCGACCGCATTTATTTCACTAGAAAGCTGAAACTAGACAGGCTACTCGGCCAGATACTCAGTATAAAGCCAAGTTATTCACCAAGATAACACAGAACGTTGCCTATAGGTAAGTCAATTTATTATACGGGTAAACATAGAGTCATGATTTTTTGAATAAAATGAATATTCATTTAGATTTGAATCCACAAATTCGTTGATTTTGTAAAAAGCGTGTTTTTCAAAGTTTTGATGTTTGCCTGAATGCAGCGATTTCCATTTCAGATATACTAACTGGTCGTTTATTGTACATGTTAATTTTCATATTTACACCCTGTTTTTACCTTTTTACTAATCTGGTTTTATTTGTTACTAGTTTATTTCTCGTGTTATATGTATATTTGTCTGATATCTTCGCTATATCATCCATTATAATGATCTATATATTATCATTATTCAGATAAACGTTTGTGAATACCCGCGATAATACGTATTGATTGCTTTTACAAGACCAACACTCTCTCAATATCAGAAAAATTTCCGCTGACAGTTAAAGCATAAACAATAATTGATTGAATGTAAGCATAGTATACACTTAAAATACTTTATTTATTTACTAGTGGTTTAAGTTTAAGTAAGGCATAATTTGCAGATGAGAGTTTTTTACATATCTTGTCTATGTGAAAAGATTGAGTCAAAGTCAACGTCAAAGATTATTTATTCCATAGATAAAATAAATTTACATTTGAAAACGTCACATTTAAGCTACTGCTCGTTCACTACACTGACCTCCCTGAGAAGAACGAGCAAGAAAGTCTAGGGATTGCTCTTTTCAAATAAACTTAAATGCTATGGAATACACTTTGAATCAAATTTGTGTGGATTCTGGAGCCATGTCGTCTTTCCATACATCTTTATCTAACACGTAGTCTTCAATTTTGTAATATGATTTTAATGTGAGATCATGAGTCAATGTGAGAATGTGTCACCCGTATTTAAAATTTGTTCGATGAATTTATAATTCTTATATATTAAATAATGAAAATACATTTTATTACATTCAGTCCATTTCTGGGCGAAATAGGAATTTTTGATAAACTATTTGTTATTTACTATTACTGTACATTAGATGACATTATGATCGGATAATTTATGTCTAGTTACATAGCCGGTGATAGAGTTATATTTAGAGTTAACAATAAAATTATCAATACAGATTTTACTAGTTTCCGTGATTCTTTGAGATCGATATTGAAATCACCTGCAATTACCAGCTGCTTGTTTTCTTTAGTTACTTTGTGAAGTATTGTTGTTGATGTATTTTCAAAAATCTTAACATTGTACTCTGCTCCATATAAACATATTTTATTATTATTGTGTGGTTTCATCTTTATTTCTAAATCCACAAGTTCAGAATGTAGTTCAGCTGACATCTTATTTAAATCGGTTCTTTCCTTGAATTTCATATTATTTTTTACGAATATAGCCACACCACCATGTGCAGCGTGTTTTTAAAAGCCAATTCATAATTTGCAAGATTCATTATATTTGTAAGTCATTGGCCCAAGTTTCAGACAAGCAAAGAATGTCAATTTGTTTGCTTAGTTAAAAGCTCTAGGGCTAGATGTTTATTATTTATACTTTGTACATTGGAATTATTGACTTACAAATAAATGGACGACGGGTCTAATACAAAAACCACGAAAAAAAGTCCCAAGTCAACCTATTTAAACGTAGCGACATGTAAAGGAATATTGAAAAGCTAAAACGTTGAATTTAAATTGTAATGTCATCGCAGTACTGTCTAATTTTGCTTGCTTCGCTGTCAGTCGAACAAACGAAGACTAAAGCGTGAATGACGCTCTGTATACGATTTTAACGCCCTATAAGTTCGGACACTTTTTAGCGCGGACCTGACGTCCATATAATTGTAAGTCAATGATTGGAATGTATTATCGTTATCTTTTTCCTTCATCCTCGGTTTTTGAAAATGTATATGTTCTTCTGTTGTTGCGACGCATGTCAATAGTGTTGAACCCTTAAAATTAACAATAACATTCGCCAAAAATTTCACATTATTGACTTTATTGCTTTCTTGACCGACTTCAAAAACAGGAGGAGGTTCTCAATTTGACTGTATGTTTTTTTGTATGTATGTTACGCGATAACTCCGGTATTTGTGAACCGATTTTCGTGATTCTTTTTTTGTTGGAAAGAAGGTACCTCCATAATGGTCCCATTTAATATTGAAGAAAATTGTCCACCTCTAAGGGTGGCAGTTCACGCATGAAGAATCGTTTTTATAAATAGCGCTTAAATTTCATTATAAGGAGCAATTATTTTAATGGTTGATTTTGCTATTCTCCAAATCAAGGCGATTTTCTCTCTCAATATACTTTGAGTAGTGAGAACCGATTTTTATTATCTCCGTATAGTGGCAAACTAGGGGATGAATCCGGGTTTGCGCACTTTCCGGTAACTGATTTCAATAAAATTTAGTATTTATACGTAATTCCGCGTAATTTTGAGCTCGGTTTTTTTAGTTCTCTGTACTGAGATTATCTAGACACATTTTTCAATTCTAAGTATTTAACGTTTTCATTATATTTTGAAATTCTAGATAATTCTTCCTTTATTTTATGTATTTGTTCATCATCGTATGTATTGTATGAAAAATTACATAGGATATATTAAAATTTCTATTTTGCTCTTTCATTATTTTTCTCATAATTTCAATGTATGAACTTTTGTGCTGTTGAGGGAAATATTTCGTTGTATGTTTTGCAATTGTATTGTCTTTTTGTAATGTTTTCGACTCCGAATCATATTGTTTTAATGTATCATAACCGCTCACGCGATGCGCTCCTCCTACCGCAAAATGGCGGCTATTAGGTTTCGCAAAATAGAAAAGGATTCCGTTTAAATACAAGTATTTATAAATAAACATTATTATTCTGCATTGCTAAATAAATTCCCTCCGTACTACCAACAAAAACATCTCAAATAAAATGCAGTAATACACCGAAAATCCTCCACCTAAAAAGCAATAATGAAATTTTTGGTGTACTTGGATAAATATGATAATATTCCGTTTACGTGGTTCTAACGTTTACCATGAAATTACTCCTTAAAGTATAGTTTATAAACATTTATATTCAGGGTAAACTTAAAAAACGCTACTTACGGTATGTTTTCAATAAATAAACACCGAAATCACCAGCCCAAACAATAACACACACGATTGTCGTGACGTATTTTTGAAGTTATT